ACCCATACATAAGAGTATGTTTAAGTTTAAAAGCAATGTAATAAAAATGGACATTTGTTAAATCTACTACCCAAACTGCTATTCAGAACATTTGGTTACAAACCGGGCACTTTCCTGTGCTCGCCCTGCCTATTCTATCTCATGCCTCTTTCACAGGAATAGTAAATGTTGCACTGAGTTTTCAGTTCAATAACATTTCCGTATTTTACTGTGATTTTAATCATGCTTCTTGCTTTATTAACCTTCTGTTACTCATTCTTCTGATCTTTATTCTGATCCATTATGAAAAACTCAAACTTTTGACAATTTTTGAAAATATACGAACTTACCTAGATATCTGCTCATTCTTTTGTATATATTGGCATACTGTTCTGGGCTTCTTGTCTTTGATTTAACTGTTGTTTCTTTGAATATAATGCAACTGAGCACAACTACACTCCCGAAGCCAGACTCTGAACTTTATCACCACTTCTCATTGTACTGTCATAACACTTAATTAAAATAGGTCACTCTTGGATTCTAGAATTGCACACGTTTTTTTTTTTTTTAATTTAGTTACTTTACTTTTTATTTATCCCAACAGAGAACTACACTTTCTTGATCCTTTTACCTTATGCTTTGTAGTTCACATCATTCTTTAACTAATTATAATCCAGAGATTAAACCTATTTTCAGAAATATCCTTAGCCCAATACCTTTGCTCCATTTTCCTTCTTTGACCTACTTGACAAAGTTCCATTTTGGACTTAGTGTGTCCAAATAACCTCCCTTATTCATCGAATTGGATCAGAATACTTGGACACTTGTAAGAACAAAAGCCACCTTATTGAAGGGGTAAAAATAAAGAAGTGATATTAATTTTTGTGAATTCAATTTTCCAGACCAGGTTTCAAGATAACATGTACCTCATGGTGAGGAGAACTCACCTGGAGTTCTCCTCCAGGGTAAATATGTGTGATACTATATCAAGATAAACTATGGTTTATATGATATGTGGAATGTTCTAAATGAAATGAGGATAGTTCTTCAGAACAGATTTAGGGATGATGGGGAGGAGTTGGGCTGAATGCATAGCTACAGCTTGTGAACAAAAAAAAATCTATTTTTTTAATGGTTGAGGCAGGAAGAAAATGGATAAGGGAAATGGCGCTAAATAAAAGTTCGATGCTAATAGAAGTCAATTATGACAATAGCAGATATTAGGATTCTGATGAGTTTTTGAGTAGGAGGACTTAGATTAGCAGGAAGTCTGAGTGCAGTGTGGAAGCTCTTCAGGGGCTTCGTCTCAGAGTAGAGTGGATAAGAAAGACAAATGGATGATCTGTATTGGCAGAAAATATCAAATGGAAAATGAGTAAATTGAGAGTGAGATTATGAGATGTGCTAGAATTAATTGTTGAAATAAAAGTTTTGGATAATAAAATTTAAAATTTGTGAGTTTGGATAATTTTATATTATTCTAAAATTTAAAGTATTTCTTCAGAAGTGGGAAGCTGTTGCAGAAAAAAAAAAATGAAGATTGTTGAAGTTCTGAAAATCGACAGATTGAAATCCGTAACTGTGAAATTATTCCCTGCATATACATGGAAGTCTCAGCATTACTATAGGAGTTAAGACAAAAAACGATGTCTGACAATCAACCCCCTCTCTAATCATGACTATGTGATTGGCAATTGAAAGAAATATTGTAGCAACCTGAATTAGTACTGGCTGTGCAGCTAAGTGTCATGCTGAGGAGAAATAAAGACAGCTAAGTGTCTTGCTGAGGTGCTGGGATCCTTTTCCAGGTCTTGCACATGGGTGAAGGAACCCAAGACTTTTGGGTCGTTCTTGACTGCTTTCCCAGGCCTCAAGCAGGGAGCTGGATGGGAAGTGGAGCTGCTCGGATTAGAACTGGCGCCCATATGGGATCCTGGCGCGGTCAAGGCGAGGACTTTGGCCGTTAGGCCCTGGAGCCAGGCCCTAGGGCACCAAAATATTTTAAGCATTCCAAGTAGCTACATATTATTTCCCCTTTTTAAGTTTTGATCTTTCTCTAAATGGTTGAATTTCTCAAGATTTATATATCAATTGCCTAAAGAAATGCTATGGCAGTGTTTAATTTAGGAAGTTATATTTTAAATCTTATCAGCAATAATTTTAGTCCTTACCTAGCCACAGCTAAATCTTACTAAGTGGTAGGAGTCGGAGCCTGCCTTGATCTTCATTATGCATTATTAGAGTTTAGAGTAGCTTTTCATTCTCCTTTTTTTTTTTTAAGATTAACTGTAATTGAAAACTCAGATTTATAGGGAGGAGAGACACAGAGAAAGATCTTCTATCCATTGGTTCACTCCCCAAGTGTCTGTAACAGGCAAAGCCAAGCCGATCCAAAGCCAGGATCAAGGAGCTTCTTCCAGGTCTCTCAAATGTGTGCAGAGTTCCAGCATTTTGGGCTGTCGTCTGCTTTCTCAGGCGGCAAGCAGGGACCTGGATGGGATGTGGAGGAGCTGGGAGATGAACTGGTGCACATATGGATCCTGGCACATGCAAGGGGAGGATTCTAGCCATTAGGCTACTGTACCCAACCTGAGCTTTCTACCATCTTCTTGTGGTTCATGCTTCATTTATTAACTTATTTTCATATCATACTGTAATAATCATATGCTTAGTAATATCTGAGAAAAAATGTAAGTGAAATTTAAAAGGTAGGCAAATAGTTTCAAGCAAATTTTACTAAAGAGATGCATTTTATAAGGGATTTTAACAGCGGTCTCTTTATTTTTTAAATAATAATACCCTTTTGAAGACAAAAAACATTAGCAACTTATGTGAAATAATTACCTGAGCTTCAGCTATTACAAATAACACAGCATCAAAGAAGTGAAACAGTATATCCTTATATTTTACTTTTCACTTTGAAAAATTCCTAGATGCTGTCAGAACATCTCAAATTTTGGAAAAAGAAATAAAATATTGTCCTGAATCTCACTGATAATAGATACACCAAAGGCTTTTCATATTTCATGAGAAAACTATTAACTCATAATAACAAATATTTAAATAAATATAAAGTTTGGAACTCATAAAAATAGGATTGAAAGAACTTAAGAAATGCATATATAGGAATGATGAGTGGGGCCGGTGCCATGGTCTAATAAATCTTCTGAGGCCAGCATCCCATATGGAAGCTGATTCAGGTCCCAGCTCCTTGCTTTCCGATCCAACTCCTTGCGTATGTGCCTAGAAGGAAGCAGAGGATGGCCTATGTTCTTGGGCCTCTGCACCTGTGAGAAAAACCTGGAGAAAGCTCCAGGCTCCTTGGCTTCTGAGTAGCCCAGCTCTGGCTGTTCTGGCTGTTTAAGAAGTGAGTCAGCAGAAGGAAGAGCTCTCTCTCTTCCGTCTCTGTGTAACTTGTTTTTTCAATAAATATTAGAAGAATGATGGATGAGTGGGTAGATAAACAGATGCCTCCTTGGGATGAAGACACATAAAATGCTACACTAAAATCTGGTAACAAGCTATAAATAATTATTTCTTGAAAAATGTTGTCTCCAAAGTAGTTTTTTAGAAGCAAAAAGTAAGTTGTGGTTTTTGCTCTCTAAGTTTACCTTTTCATTTCCCTATGACTAGTGCTTCAGTATTCTATATTCAATATTGTATATTACATTCAGTTGTTTTGATATGTCTGGATATTCTTACCCAGAAAGTACTAAATCTATCTTAGAACAACAATGATGTGTGAACTTAAAATGTTTATAAATTGTCTTTTAAGTTATGTTATGTTTTTAAAATTTAAAATAATCAGAAGATATGATACAAAATAAAGCTGGTGTTCAGTTTTGAAAATCATATAGCCTAATATTTACAGGTCCAAAATTGCATGCCATCTAGTTTATGATACTAGGGATATTGTGTTGTGTCCTGCTGTTCTCTTTGAATTGCTTGCATTGTTATTAAAAAATGAAATTTATGGAATTTATAGGTCAAGTAGAAGTCCTTGATACATTAGTCTTGGAGATCATTAATGCTTGCTTGAATGTCTATAATAAATAAATAATTGGTATTTTTGTGGATATAGTTGTGTGGGAGTAATAATTTGATTAGAAGTATACTCTGGTACTAGGCATCAAGTTTGAGTTCTAGAGACTAAGATGGAGTTTTTAGAGCTATTACACAAATTATGAGGTTCTGGTTAGGAAGTGTTATTGACCTTCCTAAATGTGAAAATATAGGGATACAAAAATCAGTATTGATAGGTTACTTAATGTTACGTATACTGCCTTAGACAGGAATAAAATTTTGATATGTGATTTATTTACAATCAGAGATCCCATTATTTCACACATACTGTTTCAGTCAGTATCCATTATGGCTTTTAAAGATTCACATGTGGACCCTTTTAAACATGGCTGCAGGGAGCGGAGTTGCACTATTGCCTTAAAACCTGGAGCATGAAATCCCTGTACCTACAAAACTGGATTGTGGAAAATAATAACAGTAAAAATTTTAAATGCATAATAAAAAAACCTCATTTTAATTCCTATGTTTGAAGAAGGTGTTATCTATGTACTATTATTGTGCTAAAAACCTCTTTATGTTTTTGTTGGCAGACTGATGGATAATTTCAGGGCATTCAGAATTGGTGGTTATATGATTTAAGTCACTGTTTAGAAAATGTTAGGATGAGTCGCTGAGTTCTTCTAAAATACTTCACTTAGCCGACATGTTTCTTTCTAAGGAGTTCATTCTGGAAAACAGTTTTGTTCATCTTTATTCAGAGCTGAGCAAGAACTTGTATGATCCTCACCGGAACTTGCTGTTAAAGCACATTTGATTCCTTATAAAAGCCTCAAGAATTTTTAGTAAATATTTACTCAGAATATGTTGGGGGAACAAAGCAAATTACCTAGCCAATAGTTTTTAAAGATTACCTTTTTCAAAGTCAGTTTGAAGCATCATGATCAAACAGTGGAAGGGCACTGCAGACCAACTGAGCTGCTTTCTGACTAACATTTCAGGGATTGCGAAGCAGCAAATAGACAGCCATATCACAGATCCAGATCAACAGAACAACGGCCTCTCCTTGAGCGGACCGCCACCCGCTCCAGATCCACTGAGCGTCCTGATACAAACCTCATGAGGTCGATGCCTTCATTAATGACTGGAAGATCTGCCCCTCCTTCACCTGCCTTATCGAGGTGAAAGACAAATCAATCAGACTGACCCCCTCTTGCCCCACCAGCCCACCATTTTATTTTCCCAACAGCTAAGTGGTCTCCTCTATCATCTTTGGCTGATCACTATTAACGGTCAATACTAACCTTTTCGATGTAAGCACACTATTTATATTCAATGGATATAATAGTGTGTGGCTACCATTGTACTTTGTTTATTAAGTGTCCTGACTACATTTGTTTCGTGATTTCTCATTAATCAGGAGTCTTGAGTAAATCCGCTCATAATTATCATGTTCTTCTCCTACAGAATGAGAAATTATTTGTGTCCATTAGGCATCACTTTTCAAATAACCATCACACTGACAGCAAATGAAACTTGATTTTTAGTTTCTTTCTATCAATAATAATATCAGGTATTAAACAACATTTTCTTTGGCTGAATTTTGAATTGTTCAGTTCTGGGTTTTATTTGGGAGTTCATGAGCTAATTTCTGCTAAATGAGTATCTAATATAAGCCTGATCAAAAAAATCTCTTTGGATTGAAGGAAGAAGATCTGTGTTAATAGCCTGAAATCTGGTAGAAAGAAATATAACGTATTACTTTTTAGTTCTGAGCTGCAGAATTCTCTTGCTTTATTGTATTTAGAATTCTAATTTACATTAGTAATTCCATTAGTTATTCCATGGATATATTGTAGGGTTCTGTGTGCATGTTTGTGTGTGTATGCATAGTACACAAAAGTGAAACATCTCTTGATATTTAAATAATCATTCAACTCTCCATATTTTGTCCTATTTTCCTAACCTTTTAATCAGCAGCTAAATCTCTTTTGAAATTACACTTAAGCAGATGCCATATGAAGCAGACTTGTTGAAAGTATTAGATTCTCTGTACTGAAAATGAGTATTAACGATTTGTCTTGTAGGTCTCATCCTCGTACTGGGTCTGTGCAAACAAGCCCATCAAGTACTCCAGTGGCAGGACGCAGGGGCCGCCAGCTGCCGCAGCTGCCACCAAAGGGAACGCTGGAGAGAAGTAAGTGTTATTTCTAACTATGTTATATAGGAAATACTCATGGATGCTAAGGTGAACAATGATTTCCTTACTACTTTTCTGTTAGCTTTCTTCATTGGTTAATTGTTTTTCTTGACTGAATTTAACAGTAGTTTAACTCCTGATATTATGTATTGTGCATTTTAAATTTATAATATTTGGAGATAAATAATATATCTTTATTAGTCTTATGCATTTTTCAAATTTGAATGAATGCCTCTTAAAAGTAAACTAAGTATTCTTAAATATGCAGTTGATTGATATGTTTTGCTGCAACTAAGTATATGTAATTGTTGATAGTTACATAAAGTTTATTAGTAACTAGCCAAATCAATTTTCACACACTGCAAAGGACTGGTTAGCTGATGCACAACAGTGGTGATCCTTCTCAAAACTGGAGTACAAGAAAAAGGTAATCACAAATAGACAAAGAAAAATGCATGTTGTACTGATATTTTTAATAATTTCAAATTTTTGCATTGAAAGCACTATTTGTTGAAACACACATGAACATACTTCCCAAACACCTATAAATTCTTAGATAAATGATGTCTAAAAGCATGTATAATTAAATATAATAGTGTTGAACATTATTTAATAATGATCCCCTTATTTGATAATTGGATGTGCTTTGCAAAAATAGATATATTTAAATCACCATTTAGCTTTTCTTTAATAGACAATACATTCTATGCCTCTGTAAATTTCTGTTGTTTTTAACCCCTCTGCTTTGGTTCCTTTTTTTGTTTGTTTTGTTTTGTTTTGTTTTTATTTTGTTTTCCCTAGACAATGGAGTCAAGGAGATAGAACCTTATGAAGGTCTGTACTTAAAGGAGGGTTTGTTTTGTGCTGACAGCCTTTTTGGGGGGCTATGTAAGCAAAAATAAACCCAACTGCAATTGATGTCCCTTCTCATATTATAGACATTTAAGTAGGAAAATTATTTTATTTCATGATTTCTGTTCAGTTTTATTTTACTTTTATACCTAGTATACCAAGACAGTATGCCAAGAAGTTCAATTTCTTTGATTCAGTCAGGGTGCAAAGAGTCTAACTTCTGGATGACTAGGAAAAAAGTTCTCTTTTCAAAAGTTTTCATTAGCCTTTTAAAAAGAATTCCACATTTTGAAGAAGATGTTAAAGATGTCAATTGCAGTCTGTGTTTATGTCAATGAAGATGTACACATAGTCTAGTTACATTAATCATCATATATTTCATCTCGTATTTATGATCTTTCAGATATTAAATTTCATTTCTAAAAAATAATGTTATTGTTGAGTTAGATAGTGATTGTGATTCTTATTCCCTACATTATTGTTTGAGCAAGAATGTTTATGGTAAATAAAAGTTAAATGTGATATAGGTTTATTATCAAACATGACATTATGACCTAAGAGAAAATACTGAGTTTTGATATGGGGTGTCATACATTTATTTGGTCTGCAAGATACCTTCTGTAAGTGTTGGAACATTGAAATTGATGTCATACTATTCAAAATGTGTTAACCTATTCATAGACTCTGCTTAATATAGGGTAATTTCTGGCACATTATAGGCCACAGTAAATGTTGATTGCATGAGATATTTAAAAACTGAAAGGATACCTCAAATATTTTATAAGTTACCAGTAAAACGCTCTTGCCATTATATAGACATTTTTATATTGCAATTCACATTTCTTAACCTATTTATAACAAATCCATAAGTGCATTATATTTGAACAATAGTACTTTCCTTGCCTTCTGTGACTTGTTGATCTAAGTTGTGTTCTTGTCAGTTGTATCTAGATGATTATCAACCTCTGTTCGTTGTTCTTTCTATTTTCTGTGTACAATGATTTTGAACAATAGTGCTAGTATGACTAATGTTCTGATGAAAAGATTTTTAGTAGCATTCCTATGTTTCTCATTCGTTCATGTTGGATTGAGGGCATATAATTTCGAATTATTTTTATAAGGAAAATTTAGAAATGTTTATGGAATTTCTCATCTTCCCAAGATTTTTTAAGGATAGAGTTTCAACATAATTTCCTGACATTTGAAGTCAGGTATAATATTTTCTGTGTCAATTTTCAAAATTTAATTTTGATTTATTTTGCATTAATAATATAGAGAGGAGCTCCATGTTTTTGGTAATTCATGTACTAGAAAACTGCTGATGGTGATGTTACTGAAAGAATTTATGAAGGTTCTAAGAGGCTTGTCAACATACTTTTTATTATTTTTTTCTTACTCAATTCACTGAAAATTTGTTTTATTCCTACAATTTTTATTTCAGAAGAAAATCGAATTCTTCCTTATCCTTTTTAATATGAAGTTATATACTTTCGGTTTGCTTCTTTTTTACCTAAAAGCATGAATGATTTTTTTCAAACACAGTTTTCATAAATATTGATGTGGTGACTTAACTAGATTGTGTTCTTTTCATTGGTTTTAAATAAGAGCCATAGAATCTCTTTTTCACCCAAAATAGACTACAAGCTTATGGTCTAAATGAAAGTATGTTTAATTTTGTTGCAAAAAGTTTAATTATCAGCCATTGTAGCTTAATAGCATTATTTTTTTAAAAAAATCATTAAAATATGTATTTTTTGCTCTTTAAAATAGCTAATAATGAACAAATCATAATTTAATTCTTTCTGGTTTGGGTTTATTATTTGGTATTTTAGTCTGTTAAATAAGTTATTTTAAAACCTTACATACTTTGTCCTTGACTGTGGTACGACATTTATTAATCTTTTCAGTTCTGAGAACCAAAGATAGGATGAGAGCAATATAGAAATAACATCTACTAAACCATCGTGCATTATTTATTCTCCACTAATTTTGATATATTGCCTTGTAATGTCAATAAAATGTTTAGTGTCATTTTTGTTCTCTAGAAGAAAAGTTATGTAATGCATTTATTCATATATGTATATACTACTAATATATCCAGTTTCTGGGCAAAATATTTGACTACTTAATCCTGTTGTCTGCTACTGCAAGCATTTTGGAATTCACTATTCATTTTTTTAAAAATCAGTGATCATAAAAATAGTAAGCTTACTAGTTATTTTATAAAATATCAAAAAACTCATTAAAACCTGTCAGTGTCTTCATAATCACACATTGTATAATTATGAATGTTTTGGGGGTTTTTGTTTCATTTTAGAAAAACAAGTATACCTATCCAGTTGTATTTTTTTTTTCTTTATTTTTTTTTCCTCGTGCAAATACAGAAGTTACTGAAGAAACTGGGCATATGGAAGAGCAGGGGGAACAAATGCAGGGAGAAGAGGTCAAGGCAGGTCTGTCTGATAGTGTGTCTAAAGTAAATGAGTAAATGTTTGACAAGAATGAGTTTGGAATTTCACGCAAGACTTTGGTTCCCAAATTCATAAATGAACAATAAACAGACTATTTTTAAGATTAACTTTCAAATAAATCTGGTTTTATTAATGAAGAGCTATCGTGAAGGCTGCCTAGTTAACTTCTGAGAAGATTTCATTTATTCCACTAATGGAATATTCACTCAAACTTGGTGCCTCAGAGGAAGATATCAATTTATTATTTTTCCAGTCTCTACATTGAGTTCATGTATTTGCTCAAACTTTTTGTTAAGCACAATCTAGAAAAATATATTTTAGCAAATACCACACTTAATGTATTTTTCTAATTACATTTTCTCCCAGTGTAAGAACAATTAACTTCTTTGTTCTGGTTCTTCTCTTTGTTTTGGCTCAATATTATTCAAACATTTACTGACAGTCATGGTTTCTTCCCGTAGTATTCCAAATGGTGTACAGATCCTTCATTTCTGATATTTAGAAAAATTTTGCTTTGTTTTTATATTTTAATTTTTGCCATAAAGTCAGAATTATCACGACAGGATTTTAAAAGTTAAGGAGGAAATATAGTTATACATTTCTTTCATTAAATTTTAACCATTAATCTGAAATTCAGAATTTAATATTATTTAAGGTGTTGATTTAAAAATTTAAACTCTTTGAACAGTGTAGAACAATTTCAAATCTACTTTTATTCTGGGTTTAACTGATCCTCATTTTTTTTTCCTAAATACTGGAATGTACTTTATTTACCTTTTATTTCATTATAATGGGAAAATAATGCATTTAGATATATTTTGTATGAGCTATATTTCTACAGATGCATTCTCTCATTGTGAAGTTTGTAATTTTTTAAAACAGTAAGCATTTTAAATCATAATTGGTGTCAGTAACTTTAATGTCCTAAAAATGATAAAAAGCATCACAGTGATAGTAGAAACAAAGCAAGTTTAATTACAAGATTTATAAAATTGTGTGTCTATCTCTGTTGTGAATAACAAATATTGTCCCACACCTTTCATTTTCCTGGAATGTTATTGAATAACATTTTTATGGACTATTTTAAAAATAGATTTCATTTTTGTTTAACTGAGCACTTAATGTTTTCCCATTTTCCCTTTCCTTTGTGTCTCAAAATAATACATACAAATGCTTTAACCCTTCAGGTTGTCCAGGAGTTCGCATCCATAATAAAGTAATTTTTCAAGATAGCAATAATTAGTATCAATGTTAATAATTTCAACTTCAGTAAAATAAGGAAGCCTATTTGTTGAGCTGGCTTTTCACTTGTGTGTTTGTCTCACAAGTTTTTGATTAGTAAACTGCACTGATTTTAAATTAGCAAAAACGTATAACTATAATACAAGAATAATTATTCATTGGTTTTCTTGAAAGACAAGCAATGTATAACCTATATTTTGTTGTTATTGGCTGTCATGATTAGTGCATGGATTTGTTTCCTAAGCATGCGATTTTATGGTTTTGGTGTGCTTGGATTTGGGGTTGATAAATGACCTTGCTTATTAATCATTATCATCTATTTTCAATATTATAAAGACAATGAGGGAAAAACACTACACCTCAATAATGGGAAAAAAGGCAAGTCTTAAAATTAATAGTGCCTCTCTAATATTAGACATTGGATTTTGTTATCTGTAA